TAAGCTCTAGCACCAGAACACACAAAAAAAGAAGGAAGGAAGGAAGGAAGGAAGGAAGGAAGGAAGGAAGGAAGGAAGGAAGGAAGGAAGGAAGGGGAAGGGAAAGGAAAGGAAAGGAGGAGGGAGGGAGAGAGGGAGAGAAAGAAGAGAGACAGAAAAGATAATTCAGGAACAGCATGGTGGTTCAGAAGATCCTTCCCTTCCCTGACCCTACGCTGTGGTCCGTCCTCTTCCATTTTTCCTGCCCAGACTGGCACTCGGCCAGGTATGGATGGCATGAGCCTTAGAAGGCGCATGCACTCATCACACAAGGAACGCCAGCAAAGCCCCATTTTGGATTGCGTGCACTGGAGGGGGCACAGGGTTCGGGCAGCTCTCTTCCATGCACTGAGTGGGGCCTGCGGGAGCCTCGGGTAGGGTAAGGGAGCAGATGGGGTGCGGAGATGGTCAGAAGCCCTTGTGGCAACTGCAGAGCTTAACCCCTGGCCTCCTTTGGATGGCTTCAAGTCCCCTGGGCAAATGGGAGGGTCAGAAGAAGCATCCGGTTTGCCATTTGAATCCTTTGTGTCTCCCCAGGCATCCAGGCGATCCCCAAAAGAGCATGTGTCCGGTCCCAAACCTGCCGACTGGTCAGGATCCCTCCTCCCCCACGGCACTGAGCCCCGCCTGCAGCTCCGCTCCATGTGCGCCCCCCCATGGCATGTTCCCGCCTCGTTGCCACATCAGAGTGTATTTTTGTAATTTCCCCTGCTGACATTCTAATGGCCCCATTCTGCCTCCTTGCCCTCCACCCCCCTCTTCTAGAGCTGGGTGAAAGGAATCCGAAACCAAGCCTGGGGTTCGAGACCCATCACTGCCACATCTTGTTTGTAAAAGAGCTGTTCTTTTTGACTGAGTGTTTGAAACAGCTATCTGTCCATTAAACTTCTACTGAGCAAATGGTTAATGGACTCCTTTGTTGCACAGACCGGGCACATGCACGTTATCAGAGCCGCCTCTCTGCATCCGATAAGCCAGGCGGGGCAAGATATGGGAGCTGGGACAGCCCAGGGCACCACGCCACCATGTGTGGACGTGCCACCGGTGGCCACCATGTGTGAACTGCCACCTGTGGCAGCTGTGTGAACACATGGGGGGGGCAGTTCTCAGAAAATTGCGCTCTTGACAAGTTCAAGGTGATTGCAAATCCTCTTGGTTTGGGAACCACTAGATTGGAAGGGAAGGGTGGAGCCAAAGTAAACCTGCCAACTAACTACCCCGACTTAAATCGAAGCACATGAATGTGGGTGACTGTTGAAAGCTCAGCCAGGAAACATGGGAAAAATCCAAATACAGTCATTGACAAGCTAAAGGTCTGCAAAACTGGAGTGTCTTTGTCCATTTTCTGCTGCTGTAACAACAGCACACAGCTATCTCTTGATGTCCACAAAGGATTCCAAACTCTGGGGATGCTTAAGTTGCTAATGTGAAATGGTCTATTTGTATTGCACACGGCCTCCTGTGTACTTCCAAAAGTCAATACAAATCATTGTTATTCTGTGTGGTTTAGAGACTAGTCTGAGCCAGGAGCTGATGGCTCATGCCTATAACTCTCGCTACTCAGGAGGCTGAGATCTAAGGATCGAGGTTCAAAGCCAGCCCGGGCAGGCTTTGAAACTCCTCTCTCCAATTAACCACCAGAAAACTGGAAGTGGCACTGTGGCTCAAAGTGGTAGAGCACTCGCCTTGAGCAAGAAGAGCTCAAGGATAGCGCCCAGGCCCTGAGTTCAAGCTCCACAAATGACCAAGGAAATAGCTATATAATGTTGGGTACAGATGTAATACTTCACAATATTTCCCATCTACAGTTGGTTGACATAGAGCTGACGTCGAGCAAGAGCATGGATGGTGTGTGTAAATTAAGAATAGTCAATGCATTGGGCTTACAGTTCAGGTGAAGCAAGCTCAAGGGGCCGCCTCTGCTGATGGCCTTCTTGCTGCACGGGGCAGGACAGGCCAAACAGAGGGAGGGTGGAGCCTGGCCTAGCCTGTCCTCAGGAGCCTACTCTTAGGTAACCAATTCAACTCAGGTGTGCCCAGCCCCGGGACCTAGTCACCCCTTAAAGACCCCACTTCCCAAAAGTTGGAGTAGCAGTTAAATTTCAACGTGTCAGAGGGAACTTTTTTTTTTCTTCTCAAAACAGGGTCCCCATTTGTAACCCAAGGTGGGTCTTGAACTCACAATCCTTCTGTGTGAACTTCCTGAGTGCTAGGGCTACAGGTATGTGCCACCATACCCAACTTGGAGGGGATGTTCAAACTAGGGATTCTAGGAAGTCAGCAGGAGGTGGCAAGAGGGTGCAAGGTGCTGTGAGGGAGCTAGGAAACCCTGGGAGGTACAGAGGAGCTGTGAAGCTGAAGACTTGCAACTCATAGCACAGAGAGACAGACAGACAGAGACAGAGACAGTTATCCATATACCGAAAGCCAAGAAGTTCAGGATCTTTACTTCCTTCTCCTTCTGACTCTTCCCAGCTAGGAAGTTGGGGAGTCCAATCAATGCCACCCCAAATGTTAAGGCTAGGGAGCTCCCAGATGCAAGCCGAGAGCTAGTTGATTGATTTAGGAGAACGCCAGCCAACAGCTGGGACAGCAGCTGATTCTAGTTGGGACTTCTTTGTGGGGGGCGGCAAGGAGGAGGAAGGGGTAAAAAGGCGCTGTTTGGCCCGCCTGGGCCATGCCAGTCTCTGCATCTCTCCCAGCCCTGCGTCCTCCCTCACTGCCCCAGAAGCCACCCCCGAGATGCCTCCCGAGCCCCGACGTGTCTCTCAGCCCTCCCGGGAGTAGGCCCAGCTCAGGAAGGAGTCCATCGGGGCTCCAACGTGACCACCGCACCTCGTATTCTTCCCACAAGGAAAGCCCATTCTGCTTTTTATGCATGGCACATGTAAATGCATTCGCAAGCTTGCACCGGCCTGGCTTACTGGACAGGGTTTTCCCAGAATGGCTGGGTGCCTCAGTCTTAAGAGTTCAGGGCTTCCAGTTTCAAGAAAACACTTCTGAGGGGCCAGGGCAGCCAGGATCACTTTGCTTCCAGCGGCCCACCCACCAAGCCGCCTCTGCTAAGGACATGGCTAGTGCATAGAACGGACATCTTTAAGAACAGGCCACGGCTGGGCGCCGGTGGCTCAAGCCTGTCATCCTAGCTACATAGGAGGTGAGATCTGAGGATCACAGTTCAAAGCCAGACGGGGCAGGAATGTCCATGAGACTCTAATCTCCAATAAACCACTCAGAAAAAACGGAAGTGGTACTGTGGCTCAAGCAGTAGAGCGCTAGCCTTGAGCTGAAGAGCACAGGGACAGCACCCAGGCCCAAAGTTCAAGCCCCAAGACCCATGAAAAAAACAACAGAAAAACAGACCATGCTCAAAATGCATTCTCCAAGGAAAGTACTAGGGTTTGAAGATGCCTTGCCGCCTGTGCCAAGGGCTGGGTCCGGGTGCCTGGTGAGAAGTCATTGGTTGTGTGTCTGGGGGCGGGGGGGCTGAGGGACCCCAGCTTCCCTCGCTGCTCCCACAGCATGATCTGTCCCTTGCACACGCTCCTAACATTGCCACCCACCAAGAAGCGACAGCCAAAGGGCCTGCACAGTGCTGTGCACGCTCACCCTTTTTCTTTAGTTCATTTACCTCAGGTATTTTGTTATGGTTAAAAAACAACAACAAAAAATAGCTGAGTAGACATAGGCCTATTAACAGCTCTTAAGTGCCCAGCCCACTCCCTGATAAATTCAGAAATAGGGCCAAGAATAAGTTCTCCTTTGCCAATCAACACGAGCAATGAAAATAGTTATCACCTGGATTACAGTCCCGTGGCATGATCTCCCAGTGTGTGGCTTTGGTACATACCTTGCTCTCCTCATCTGTGAGATGTGAACCGTAAGCCCCTCACAGGGTCGCTGTTTTTAGGAAATCATGGCCTCCACTGGTTTGTTGTTGGGAGTTTTTTTTAATGTGTTTTGGTGCTGTGGCTTGAACTCAGGGCCTGGACTCTGTTTCTGAGCTCTCTTTTTTGCTCAAGGCTAGAGTTCTGCCACTTGAGCCACACCTCCACATCTAGCTTTTTGAGGTTAACTGGAGACAAAGGTCCCAAGGAGGCAGGCTCCGGTGACTCACACCTGTAATCCTAGCTACTCAGAAGGCTGAGATCTGAGAATCACGGTTCAAAGCCAGCCCAGGAGGGAAAGTCTGAGGCTCTATCTCCAACGAACCACCAGAAAGTCAGAAATGGCGCTGTGGCTCAAGTGGTAGAGCATTCGCCTTGAGCTGAAGAGCTGAGGAACAGTTCAAGCCCCACGACCAACCAAAAAAAAAATAGGTCCCAAGAACTTTTCCTGCCCAAGCTGGCTTTGAACCACAAGCCTTAGATCTCAGCCTCTTGAGTAGCTAGGATTACAAGCATGAGCTATTGGCACCCAGCTGCTGTTTTGTAGTGCTAGAGATCCAATTCAGGACTTTGTGCATGCTACACATGCTCCACTACAGAGCTGCATTCCCTGCCCAATTAGTTATTCCTTTTTAAATGTCACCTGTTATTAAAACCAAATGAATATGATGTGCAGCATGCCTACGGTGTGGCGTGTGACCACCTGTCCAACACCAAGGACAGGAGGAATTTTATTTTTTTAACCTTCACAAGGGAAATTGTCATTATCGTGGCCTATAATGTTTGTGAATTCTATGAGCTTTGACATTACAACTATTTCTAACGCATCGGGTGATATGTACATTTCTTTCCTTTTGCTTAGAGTTAGCTGTTGCCTCTTCCTTTCATTCCCTCCCTCCCATCGAGGCCCTTGAGTTGCTTAGGGACTTTGTATATTTTCCCGCTTCCCTCTAATTCTGTCTTCTTCCTACTTTCCCTCAGATGTGCGCATATACATACCGTATCTGTGGTCAAGTACATGGAGTCACTTAGGAATGGTACAAGTTGAGTGGAGGTCCTGGCTCTCGAGCCCTGCTTACTTTGTCAGATCTCCTAGCATTTTGGAGGGAGACCATGTGCTATTTGTCTCTGCTCTTGGCTTACCTCACTCAAAATAATTGTTTTCTAGTTCCATCCATTTCCTGTGAATGCCATTATTATGTCCTTTCTAATGGCCGCATAGTATTCCATTGTATGTAAGTACCACAATTTTTGGATCCTAGAAATTGCATTCTTTATGGAGCGTGTGAAAGAGGGACAGATGCACAGGAAGTCAGACAATGTACCATTTTATTCCTTATAAAATATATTTCATATCGTTGCTGTAAAAACATTACATTTCACATTTTTTAAAAAAAATTTAACAGTAAAAATAATACTTGGAAGACAGCGGGGGAGGGGGAAGGGAGAGGCGCCAGTAAGACAAATTCACAAATGGGATTTAGCTCCCTCTTCTCTCTCTCTCTGTCTCTCTCTCTCATGTGTGTCTGTGTCTGTATCTGTGTGTCTGTGTGTCTGTCTCCCTGGTAAAGTCAGAACTTGGGATGACCAGAAAGTAACAGGACAAATTTCTCCCAACAAGCCATGCCCACACCCGCGTTCCTGTCACCCTCTAAGTCGCTCAGCTGTCGCCTTGCTGTCACCGTGAGGCTCAAGTCCGAAGTTACAAAACGGACTTGAGAGCCTGTGGGTGGATCTCAGCCGTGTGTGCGCTGGAGTCGGCTCTGCCCGGAACCTTCCGTTCCTCAGACGCTGTGCTCTTCAGAGCAGCAGACTCTGCACGGCTGAGGCCGTGGTTCCAATTCCAAGACTTCTGCACACAGGGAGCGCTGGGGAAAAACAGCTTCCCGAGCTGAGCTCTGTGAGCTCACCCCAGCACCGTCCGCCAGCCAGGCCCACGCACCGGCGCCAGGAAGGGGAGATACAGAAACAGACGAAAGCAATCGGGCCTGATGCCACGGGCGTCTCTGAGAAGAAACAAATGGAGCAACCCTAGGGACAGGCCATGTGTGTCCACAACCCAAAGGACAGCCACAAGACAGAGGAGCAGGTGGACGGCGGGAGAGGCCACCAGCATGAGGAGGACCAGGGAGCAAATGCAGACAGGGCAGCTGCACAGAAGCGAGAGAAAGCAAAGAAGAAAACCCACACCGCCGCAGGGCTCCCGTGCCTGCCAGCCTGCTCCCCCGCAGAAGCTGCCCTGCACACGGCAGAAGCCGGTCCCGCGTGGGAAAATTCTTCCTCCCCAGTTCTACCTACTTGGCCCAAACCACAGTGAGCACAAGCTGGGATGGAGAAGGGGAGGGAAGGGCCTCAGTTTCCCCACCGCAGGCAGGTCTGAAGGCGGACAGTGAGGACACCAGAGGGGAAGGGGCCTGCTGTCAGTTGTTAAGGACCCACGACACTGAAGGCCTCTGGCCGGCCTGCACCAAGAGTCAGAATTCCATAAACATCTGCTTCTGAGTTACAAAACCCCCCACCGAACACACCCAACACCAACACGCTGTGTGCACCTCCTTCACCAGTCCAGACCACCATCCCTTCCCACCCTCACTCCCTTGGCGCAATGTCTATGGGGTTTTAACACGCAGTATGTCTCAGGTTGAAGAGGACATGTCTGTTCCCACTGATGCCAAGGAACCTCGGGGCACAGGTGTCTGCCCCGGGACGAAGGAGAGTCCCCACAAGCCACGGTGGACATGCGGCTCGGCCCCAGGAGACGTGGCTTAGCAGGGTGCCCTGAGCCTGTGGCTCGTGGGGGACACAGGACAGCAGGCACCACGCAACTAGCGGGACGCAGGGCCTCTGTGACCACGCATGCTGAGAAGCGTGAAACTGCACCAGCGGGCCCTGCCTCAGGGCTCAGCTTACACCACGTCCGCCGCCTGAGTGAGCACAGCCCTAACCTCCCAACAAGAGCACCGTGTCTGGACCTCCACGCCTGCCCTAAACTGTGTGGGCTCTAGACCCAGCCAGCGCTGCAGTCTACCCACCCCTCAGCCCCGTTTCCTCTCCTAACCCTCTCATCCCGCCTGGGCCAGGAACTCAGGGCAATCCCAGGCGAGGCCGAGACAAGGCAGCCAGCCAGAGCCTCTCAGGGCCACCCAAGAAAAGCGAGCGTAATCCACTAAGGCTTCCTAGACCCCAGAGGACAGAGAGCACTGCGCCTCCACACTGCGGAGAGGAACCCGGGGCGGGGCAAGAGCCGTCTCCACAGACGCTGCGCCCTTGGCGGCGGCGGCACTGCTCTAAGAGGAGATTCGCTCTGGGGCCAGTCTTTTAAAAACCTATTCGTCCTGGGCTCTGAGAAGCAGCCGTGCATCGGCTGGGATGTGGCCCGACATCGGGGGTACCCGATCCCAAAGCTGTCACCTTGCAAGGGTCCTGCCCCCACACACAGCGGCGGAGCTGACCCCCGCGCCACACCCCCGGGCCTGCTCTCCACACACACACACACACACGGCCGTGGAGCTGACCCGCGCGCCGCACCCACGCGGAGCTGACCCGCGCGCCACACCCCCGGGCCTGCTCTCCACACACACACCGCCGTGGAGCTGACCCGCGCGCCGCACCCCCGGGCCTGCTCTCCAGGTTGCCACAAACATCTTCATTTCATTTCTTTTTTTTTTTTTAGGAGAAGGAAACTCGTCTCATTCACAGTCCCTTTTGGAGAAAGCAACGGTTGTGCCACGCACAGGGAGCCGTCCTTTCCTTCCCGGTGGGGACAGACGCGTGCCCCGAGGCCGGGAGCAAGAGGAGGGGGAGGAATTCTTTGGTCTCTGGTCGCTGCAGAATACCTTGGCAGTTTTGGCTCTCTCCTATTTTAAGGGAAAGAAAAATATTTTCGCATCTTTTTAAAAAATAAAACATTCCCACGGCGGGGAGAAAGTGTTTTAAGTGTTACACCGCAGCGGCGTGCGCGCTCCGTGTCTCGGCTGCTCCGGCGTCTGCAGCGGGGCTGCCGGCGGGCGGGCGGCGGGCAGGAGCGCGGCCGCGGCACGTCAGTCCAGGAAGCGCTGGCAGGCCTTCTTCCAGCGGCAGGCCGTGCACCACTGGTCCCGGTGCTCGATGCCGTACACCTTGCGGCACTTCTTGGCCTCACCGCGGGCCTTCCTGCCAAAGAGAGAAAAGAGTTCAGCGTCACACGCCCGAGTTCAATCCAGACAACAACAAGGCTGAGCAAACAAGAAGGGGGCTGAGGCCGGGGCCGGCGGCTCATGCCTGTCCATCATCCTGGCTACTCAGGAGACTGAGAGCAGAGATTCAAAGCCAGCCGGGATGGGGCTGGGAAGGTGGCTCAGTGGTAGAGCGCTTGCCTTGCATGCCTGAGGCCCTGGGTTCGATTCCTCAGCACCACAAAAGAAAAAAAGAAAAAAAACCAGAAGTGGCGCTGTGGCTCAAGTGGTAGAGTGCTAGCCTTGAGCTGAAGAGCTGAGGGACAGCGCCCAAGCCCAGAGTTCAAGCTCCACGACTGGACCCCCCCAAAAAAAAAATAGCCTGGACACAGAAGTCCATGAGACTCCATCTCTAATTAATCAGCAGAAAAGCGGAGCTTTGGGGCATGGCTCAAGTGGCACCAGCCAAGCAAGCGAACAGAGAGTGAGTGAAAAGCCCTGAGTTCAAGCCATGGTCCTGGCACACACGAAGAAGCTGGAAAGGGCGGCTCCAGTGGGAGCCGAGGGTCCCCCAGCCTGACGCTCAGGACACGGGCCAGCCCTGCGGTGCCCTCCACAGCTCCCCGCGGGCGGGCGGGCTCCCGGTCCACCCCAGCAGCGCGGACGACGGCAGGGCAGACCAGGCCTTCTCACCTGGTGCTGCTAGGGGCCCGGGGTGGAGAGGTGACGACCAGGTGCGACTTGACGGCAGGCGCAGGCAGTGGCGGCGGCTCGCTGAAGCTGAGCGACCGGCTCCGGACCTGGCAGGGGAGTGGAGCGTGAGGCCTCCCGGCAGCCCCTCCGCGCAGGGAGGAACCCCACACTGGCATAACGCTGGAGGCCAACGGGGTCCTGGGCAGCCAGGCTGGGTCGGGGAGACTGCAGAGGGAGAGCAGGCCTCAAAGGATCAAGCAGAGCGAGGGACAGAGAGCCACCGCGAGGAAGCGAGTGGCCAGTGCAGGAGGGAGGGGCTTCCCGCTGCCTCTCCCTCTTCGCCACCTCCTGGCACCGAGGCTTTACAGCATGTGGCGCCCCCTGTGGCTGGAAGACGAGACTAGAGTCCGCCATTTGTGAGTCTCATGACTTCCGGGTGACCTCACTGCAGAGCCAAGCAATGCAGGGCGCTCTTCCATGGGGGCCTGGGCTTTCTACTCCAGCACACAGAGCCCCCCTCTTGCTCCCGCCTTCCTCCATGCCCACCTCCTGTCCTACTGCGCCACATGTGCTCCTTACGTGCCTCTTGGCACTGAGCCTCTTACAAGTACCCACAGACATCCACGGCTCAGTAGAGACCTGAGCCTAGCACCTCCTGCAACTTAAGAGGACAAGCGCACTGCTGGACCCTGACCCGTTCTGGAAGCACTTTTCCCTGGCTCCTGGGGGGCTCTGTCCGGCTCCATCACAGGGGAAGGGAGGACACGTGGAATCCACATGAAGTCTGGGGGTCAGAGGTCTGCCAACACACCAGCCACAAGCCAAAGACTCAGCTCCCAGCTCAGGGGTGTGTGCAAGAGCCCAGGCTTGTCCCCCCTCCCCTGCAGGGGATGTACCCAGGAGCCCCAGGCTTGTGCACCCCCCCCCAAAAGGCATGTGCAAAAGCCCAGACCTGCTCCCAACCCAGGATGTGTGCAAGAGCTCCAGGCTTGCGCGAGGGCACACTCACCGGTGAGAGAGGGGTGGTGGCAGGGGCAGCAGCCCAGCTGATGCTGGTGTAGATATGAGGGGAGACGGGGATCTGGAAGGAGGGCAGAGCCTGTGGAAACAACAGGGTGTCGGCCGGGCGCCAGGGCGGGAAGCAGAGGGTCTGCCGGGGGCCCTGACGCTTCCCTTTCTATCACAGAACGTTTGCACCCGGCTCTCCAGCTGTGGGCTTCACGCGAGGCTCGGATATCTCCTGAGCTCCCCTCAGAGCTGGTTCCATGTTGAGCTAGAACGTGCCCAGAACGTGCCTCAGGCAGTTGCTAAAGAAGGCCCGAGCCCTGTGAGGCCGTGCGGTGCTGCTGCAACGCGCTGGGCATCACCACAGCACAGGAGACTCGCAGCGAGGGGCTCGCAGATGCCTCGCTGAGAGCTATTCACCAGGTGCGGGCCCACGGGCCAGCGGGGGCTGCACATCCGCCACGCATGATTTTAGCTAAGCGGTCACTAGCTCTAAGGAGCTCGTTCTGTAAGCTTTTCTGATTGTTCTGAGAGTGCTGCTGTTTACTAACTAACTTGCCAACTGTCACAGAGTGTAATAAAATGGACTACAGTAGGCACAGGGAGATTCTTCAGTGCAGCCCGCGGGGCGCACGTGTGCTCCCTGTGGACAGTGACAACCGTCCCAATGTCACTCTGGCAATTTCCCGAGCACACAGCACATGGCGGCCTCCCTCCTGGGTCCTCCGTGTCTCCTGGGGCCTGACTTACTGACTGCAGCTAATCGTTTCTCGATGAAAAGCTTCCTGGCCCACCACTGGCAGAGTGGGTTTCAAAGCCTGAGCCCAGTGCTAAGATGGGCCACGGGAATCCCAACCCCATGACGCCAGCGCCTGTCCACCCAGTCCCCCGACACTCCTCTGCCAAGCCCAGGCACCTGGTGGCTTAGGAACGTGGTGAGATCTCTCACAACCATTCCCCAGGGCTGCCGCCAGAACTCTGGGGCGTCCCACATTTACTGGGTGACACCCCTTTCCTTTTCCTCTCCTGTAGAATCATCAGCCACTTGGCCGCAGAGCTCAGTTGTCAATTGGGGGCGGGGGGAGCGGGTGACCACTCAGACCTCAGGCAGAGCCCGTGTGCCCCACCCATACCTGATAGGCATGGTCAGCCTGAATGTGCCAGAAGGAGCCAGGGGCTGACGTGCTGAGTGCACCCGAGGGCAGGGGAGACTCCAGGCCGGATGGTTCGGGTCTAGGGTACGAAGCTTTGGGCGGAGGCAGTGGAAGAGCAGCAAGCGAGGGGCTGGTCACCCGGGGGGCGGGCACTGGCTCGGCAGAGGGAGGCCCAGGGACGGAGGGGCCGGGCGCGGCCACAGCAGACTCTTCCTTCATCTGCACCTCCGTGTAGTAGAAATCCTCCTCCCGCTTGAACTGGTCCGAGTCCACGGTGTCCCTGCGCAGAAAGCAGGTGTCATCGGCTCAAAGCTGGGGGAAACTGAGGTACGAGGGAGAATCTGGGTGCTTGGGGCCACTTACAAAGTCAGGGAAGGTCCCCAAGGCACCCAGGAGCCCTGATGCCAATGAGTGTCACTGGCTATGGCTAGCACAGGAGTGAATGCTGCTTCCCTCCAGGCAGGGCCAGGCCTCAGCTGCCACCCTAGCGGAGACTCAGCGCCCTGGCCCCAGCGCCCAGCAAGCAAGCGAGGCCCGGGCCCCTGCGAGAAGCAGATGCAGCTTGGCCACGCCACTTGTTGGCCACGGGGCCCCCGAGCGAGCGGCATGGCAAAGGCAGCTTCCTGTGGCGGTCAGGACGGCATGGGTGACCTCGGCAAGCTGTTCCTGCGAACTGTGGAATGGGGGCCACCTGAAGAGCACCCTCAGCTGGGAGGCCCGAGCGCCACACCTACCCCAAGTGAAGAGCTTTGACGTGTCGCTTGATGCCGACGATGGAGCGCAGAACTTTGCCACAGTTGGGCCACAGGCACTTGTACATGACCTTCACTGAGTTCTAGGGGAAAAGAAGCCCGTGAGACAGGTGTGCTCCTCTGCCTGGCCCGGCATCCTCACTCGGGAGGAACTTCACTGCGGGCGTCCTCAGCCAGAACCAACAAAAGGCCCTCAGGAAGGGCGCCCTGGACGGCAGGAAGCCCTCAGAGGCGGCCAAAGCAGTCAAGAGGGTCTCTGGCCACCCTGTGGCCTCTCACATAGACGCCTCTGTGGGAATGCAGGGAAAGTGGCGGCAACTGGGAGGAAGCTAACCAGGCAGAGGATCTGACATCAAAGTCCAGTAATACATCAAGGAGACAGACACAGCAAGAGAAAACTGAGGGGAGACTTGGGGTCTCCCTGTTCCTCCGGGGCAGGCCATCCCTGCACGCCTTTAGTCACGTACCTTCCTCTTCCGTGGAGCTGGTTCATCCAGAAGGAAAGGGTCAGGGTCGGTCTCAAAGCCATGATCGGTCTGGGGAGAACCGAAGGCGTCCCCCAGGTACTTGGGGCTGGCCTGCGGGTGGGGCGGGGAGGGGGTGGAGACGCCGCTGCTCCCGCTCCAGTGCCCGCTGGTGGTGCTGCTGCCGCTGTCAGACACGTCGCCGCTCTCCTTCCACGGGTCACCACAGGCCACACGGGATGACGCTGGCGGGAAGGAGAGAAGGTGAAAGGACAGGCAAGGGCTTGTCCCCAGGCCCAGAAGACAAAAACAAACAAAAGAAGAAACGCCTCCTTTTCAAGCTATGGTGAGGCCATTCGCTCGTCACCGTGGCTTCCAGCGGCAGAACGGCTCAGCCCGCTGTGCACCCCATACACGCTGCAACTGCAAGTGTGCTCAGTTAATCAAAGAACCCAAGTAAAATGTATTTCCCAAGCCAGGCATGACAGCCTAGGCCTATAATCCCAGCTACTTGGGAGGTGGCATTCTAAAGGACCACAGTTAGAAGCCAGACCAGACAAAAAGTTAGGAAGATCTCATCTCAACAAACAAGATGAGAATGCTGATGCTGAGCGCTGGTGGCTCACGCCTGCAATCCCAGCTCCCCAGGCGGCTAGGATCTGAAGATTGTGGTTTGAAGCCAATCCAGGCAGAATATTCCATGAGACTCTTATCTCCAATTAACCACCAGAAAGCTGGAGGTAGAAGAACACTACCCTGGAAGGAAAAAGCCTAGCAAGAGTGTAAAGCCCTCAGTTCAAGGGTCCAAAACTGACACACCTGAAAAAAGATGGGTATAGCAGTATGCACTACAGTCCTGGCTATGGAAAACGCAGAGGTAGGAGAATGTTGCTCCGAAGCTGGCCATGGGCAAAACCCAAGACTGTATCTGAAAAGTAACTAAAAGGGCTGGAGGTGTGGCTCCGGTGACTGCCTAGCAAGCCTCAATAACAACCACCCCCCTGTATCTGCTAAAAGTGGAGGAGCCCCTCCATCCTGAGAACCAGGGAAGTTTTCTTTCCCATTGGCTTAAATAAGACATATATTGTAATTTTAAAAAAATCTTTAGCAGCAAACAGGAACTGACAGCACAGGACTATGGTATCTTATCAGTGAGCTACAGACAGGTTGTGTGCACACATGCACACTCCTAATGGAAGTGGAGTAATCATTTTCTTCCCATTTGGGACACTTTTCTGGACCTTACCCAACCTCTAGGCTTTCCTACACCTGGAAAAGTTCCTACAGCTTAAAAAGGGACTCCCTCTCTTCCCTGGGACAAACGTTTGGGCCAACAGAGCAGACACGCACTACCAGGCTTCACCACTAGGTGTCCTCGGAGTGCACCAAAGCAAGCTTTGGGTGGAATTAATTAAATCTGCTTTAGCTCTCCTTTATATTTACTTTTCTATCTAGGGAGATGATTACTTATGAGGGACACTTGTAAAGTCTGCTTTCCTTCTGGAATGTCCTTAGAGATAATTATTCCATATTCTGCAAGCTTTTAGGCAGCTTGCAATTCAATTAGGGCTCGTGGATTAAAAAATCATTCCCTGGGAATGAATAAGACAGGCCAGCCATATAATTAATAATAATGTTAATAAACTTCAGGTTTCCTACAAGTCTTGTCAAAGGACTGACAGCCAGAAATCTTCCCTTTCCCCATTTCACTGATAAAGTATCTTGAGGTCATGAATAGCAGGATTTTGTCTTAATTTAGAAATCTGAAGTCATACCATTGCTTTTATTAAAGCAATTTGGTTTATTTATGGTTCCATGATTTCAGGTATCTAGCCTATAATCTCACTCACTGACAAGGCATTTGGAATGGAGGCATGATTTTTCTGAAGCCACACTTCTACCTTGGTGAACTAAATATTCCTTAGGCCTTGTTCAGACTCCACGGTGACACATTCGCCCATCCAAGAGCTTGCTCACCTGGCCAGCATGGCTCAGCACCGAGCTCAGCCCTCTTCACAACACCACCAGAAAGCCCACCCAGCCGGCTTGGTGGCACTCAGGCGGCCTGAAAGCCTCCAGAAATCCTAGGGACAAACTGACTCTGGCGATCGGCTGCTCAAAGGCGAGGTGAGACGTGGGCCTCTGCTGTGCCTGGAGCCCTTCGGCCCCCATTACTCACCAGGGAAGTTGGTCTCTGCTCTGGGGGGACTCTGGACAACTGGACTGCAGGACAGGGACGTCAGCACCATGGCCGCCATCATCTCGTCCATCTCCACTGCATCCGACTTCCTGCATCCAAATGAGCGGGTGGGAAGCACGCTGTCTGTGTGGACCGAGCCACAGCGTCCACGGAACAGACACCGTCCCCACGTACCCCTCCCAACAGCCCGGTGTGCCCATGTAATAGGAGAAGTCAACTGTGACAGTCTTCTCATTCTAGACAGGCCGCATGGCTTAAATGGTAGGGTGCCTGCCTACCAAGTTGAAGGCCAGGAGTTCAATCCCCAGTACAAGAGAAAAAACCTCATTCTGAATGGTATTTACAATAATTAGCCCAGTATCAGCAGATGAGTTCCATTCTTTGTGTGTGTGTGTGTGTGCCCGCGTGTGCACGAGCACACGTATTGGTGTGTCTGTACAACTGTGCATGCCAGTACTAAATCTTGAATTCAGGGCCTTGCACTTTCACTTGGCTTTTTCCACTTACAGCTGGAGCTCTACCACTTGAGATATGGCCCTAGTTGTTGGGGTTTTGTTTTTTTGGTTTTTTGTTTTGTCGTTTGTGGGGTTTGAACTCTGGGCCTGGACGCTGTCCCTCTGCTCTTCAGCTAAAGGCTAATACTCTACCACTTGAGCCACAGCACCACTTCCTGTTTTCTGAGTGGTTTACTGGAGATAAGAGTTTCATCAGGCTGGGAAGGTGGCTCAAGTGGTAGAGCACTAGCCTTGAGCTGAGGGACAACGCCCAGGCCCAGAGTTCAGGCCCACAACTGGCAAAAAAAAAAAAAAGTCTCACAGACTTTCCTGCCCAGGCTGGCTTTAAACCACAATCCTCAGATCAGATCCTCAGATCTCAGCCTCTCAGCTAGGATTACCGGCATGAGCCACCGGTGCCCAGCCTGCCTCCAGTTTTTTAACGGAATGCCTTGTTATTATGTGGGGGAGAACGAAGGCGAAATTGACTAGGACAACTGTTCCCTGTTAAATTTAAATATAAGACAGGGAAGGGGACTAATTTTAGTATTCTGGATTGCAGTGGACATCATGAAACCATGCTTGATTGCACTGTTAGGACTCTACTCTCTTCCCCTAAATAATTTCAAGCTGCAGAGTTAGAAAGGAAGTAAGGCCAGTACAACTGGCCTTTGATGGCTGGTAGTCCTAGTTATTCAGGAGGCTAAGATCGAAGGATCACGGTTGAAGCCAGCCCTGGCAGACAAATCTTATTTCCAATTAGCTACCAAAAATTGGCTTGTGAGTACCAACAGAACCTATTATATAAGCCAGGATACAATAAATAATCCAACATAAATCTTGGTACCTCTAAACAGCAGGATTCCCTAAATTTGACATGTGATTTTTCTTTTTTTTTTAATTTAATTTTATTTGTGAACATACTGTACAGAGGGGTTACAATTGCATGGGCAGGATAATGAGTACATTTCTTACCAAGCATTGCAGCCTCCTCCTTTGTTTACCCTTCACATCCCTTCCCAGCCTCCCCCCTCCCCCCCAATCCCAATCCTTCTCCT